TAGATATGAGTGCTTGTGTATAGCTCATTCCAATTAATTGGTTTGTTGGTATTTTATTAAGCAGTAGCTGAAAGTGGTTTTTTTTCCAAATCTACAATACTTTAAGCTTTCAGCTAATTAATTGGATGCCACCTTTGTTATTTACAAGGGGGTTGCAATGTTAATTTATAGTTCATTCTGAACCGGTGCTTCCTCGGTGATCAATTAGCACCATTGGAAACAAGTTCAGCAAAGTTACATGAAATGCTCTGGGCCTGCACTGGGTTGTCCAGACGCTAAAGAAGCAGAGTAAGGAAACCACTGTACGCGCTAATTCAGAAATCCTTTTCCTGCGTGCTCTCAGCAGCGCCACACACTGCTAAGGCTCCTTCTAGCAAGGAGATGGAGCTTGTTTGAGAGGCGCTGAGGCCAAGCTGCTTCTCAAATATCAAAATGTGTTCTGGACTGTGCTGCAAAGGTGACTCTTCTGCTTTCTGCTGTGCAGCCACAGGAATAAGAGGAGGTTATTGGCTTTCTTTCCCACTCCTTACAATTTAAAGCCATGGCAGGTATCTGAAAACCGCTTGATATCACTGATGACTTGTGTTTGGCTGGTTTGTGGCCTGTTTGTGATTTTTGTGTGAGGTGGACTTAGTAAACATGAAGATCTTTCTTCCTGGCAGCTTGTTTTCTTTAAGACAAGACGGGAAGCTGCGTAGGTGTTGCTTTCTTCACAGCATGGCTGAGGGACAGCTTAGATTAAAGGGAGTAAGAATGGATGTGTACTCACAAGGAGGGAACAGTGTAAGGCCAATGTGTAAGAGCAGGTGGGTGAGAAGTGTATGACACTTCACTGAGCAACTTAAGAGTCAACTGTTTGACTCTGTTAGTCTCTCCTAACATGTGTGTACGCAGCTGGATCATATATCTGAAATCACCATTTAAACAACTTTTCAGTATGTCAATGCAGCAAAAGTCTTTGGGGATTCTTCCACAAACATCCTCAAGCTCGAGTGTCTGCAGCGCTGGAGACACTTACTGAGACACATTTGTGGGCAAATGGTGCAAAAGAAACTTTCCCAACCAGTGATGTTTGACGGCTGTAGCAGGCACTTCAAATGCAGCATGTCTTGAATTAGAGTTCAGATGGGCAATCAAGTTGTTGTGGCATAAAACTTTTTCACACTTCAGCTGAGCCATAATGACTGATTGTGGGTGTGTCTTTAATGGATAGAAAATGACAATGCAGGGATGAACAACATCCTGATCTAAGTGGTGGATGAAGAAGGTGTGCAGTTGTTGAATGTGATGTGTTTCTGTGTGTGCAGCCAGGCAGGCAAATGAGGAGGCTAAAACCTCCTTAAATCCATGCCTGACTTAACTCAAACTGCAGGCTAAACTACTCTGCATTTCTTTACAGCTGGTCTAGGCTGAAAGCAGGCATGAGGACAGCTGCCATCCCTCAGTTAATATGCAGTAACCTGTTCCTCCAAATAGACCGTGTGTGAATTTAGAGAACTGATCCTACCACCTAAACCTACAGCATACATCCTGCATAGTCGCTTCCTTTGCAAGTTAGAATTAGAAAAAGAGAAATAAATATATTTTTGAGTCCTCAAGTCCTAAAATGCAGACCCACGTGCACAGATTCAGAGGCAGCATTTGGACTCTGGCAGCGGGTCTGTCGTTACTGAACACTTCCCTTTACTGACAGCCTTGGGGGTGGTCACAGGGGAAACAAAAAAAGAGGAAAAGATATTGCATTCAGCAAAAGGAGTCTTGCCGCAGGTTACTGGCAAATGACTTGGCCAAAGATTTACAGCTAAATATGAAGCACTGCAAAAGAGGTAAAAATCTAAATTTAAGTCATGTTTCTCTCTCCCTCTAATAGTATTTTTCACAGTAGTGGACTCACAACAAATTTTTGGTGCTCAACTGACTTCAGAACATCAGCTATGCCCATTTCAAATGTTTTTCTATTTGCTTTGCTGCTCTTAGTGATGAAAGAAAAGATTTTTTTTCATTGTCATCCTAAATCCCGTTAGCTTTATATTTGGAAAACATTACAGATTTAATGAAAAAATGCCCTTTGGAGGAGTATTTCTTATTCTGAATCCAAGGTTCTGTTTTTACACATGGAAAGTTTGTCCTAATAGTTTCTCATTTAACACTTTTCATGCTTAACTCCCCCTTTTTCTCCCTCAAATGAGTTGCAACTGGCTCCGCTCCGAAGTGGCACATTTGCTGCTAGTCAGCTCTCTTTCCTAAATAACTTAGTTTTCATAAAACAGGAGAACAACATCTGTTAGGACTTCTCGTTTTGTAACAATCTTATCTATCTACATTACTTTTCACAAAACAGAGGGTGATACCAAATAGCAGGGCACAGAACATGCAGAAGCAGACTGAAATCCCAAATATTCCTACTGGGGTGTTCGCTATACATTTGATAGTATTCATATTGACTTTCCAGTTATACAGCTGTCAGTGACTGGAGTGGAAAGTAAAACTTACACAAGTTGCCCATTGTATCTACATAAATATCTGTAAGTATAAGTGAAAAATAGACTAAATTACAATATGGATCATAATCTACCAGCTTCACATTGTAAAAGTACTGGCCAACACTGCCGAGCATTTGGGTAAAAACTGCAGAAGAAAGATGCACAGTTCAATTTATAATTGCCTCCCCGTGGAAAACACCCATTGCCTGAGATTTCTTTGAAATAATCCTTTGTATAGCAATCCTTTGTCTCATCCATAGCAGTTTTTCATTCACTGATCTCCCTAGGCTTTTCAAAAGAAAGAAGGTGTTATCCCATCGTAGCAGGGAGGAAAACTAAGGTGAAGTGGCCTTTTCCAAAGCTTGAGGAAAATGACAAGGGAAGATGAAAAGCATGAAGATTTTACATCAGTGGTGATCTTGGTTCTGAGCTTTGAAGTCTACAATACTGGCAGCGTCTTGGCTAGAGGGTCCCAGTGTTTGGGAAGGTGGAAGGCATGAGGCTGTGTGGGTCCACTGTCCTGGCACAGGGAGGGGCTGCACCTGACCGAGACAATGCACATAAGCGCTCTTCCTTGGCCTTTCCTTGCTACCACCGTGTTGGGGTTGGGGGGATATTGTTCATGAGCGCTCTTCCTTGGCCATTCTTTGCTACCACAATGTTGGGGTTGGGGGGGATATTGCTCATGAGCACTCTTCCTTGGCCATTCCTTGCTACCACCACACTGGGGTTGGGGGACATTTTTCATAAGCACTACGGTGCAAGGCAGGGGATGTGACTGTCCACGTGCAGTGAGCCCGCTCCTCCCAGCCCTCCAAGGAGCTCAGTAATGGCATGCAGAGAAACTGGAGCTGGTCCCCCCCCATGCCTTAGATGTGTGGCTTAGACCTCTGAGCTGTCTTTGGAGTGGTGTCTGCAACATGCTGCACTCCAACTAATGCCATAACATAAATCTTGGAAAGGCTTTTCAACTTGGAAGCAGAAGTGTGCAAATGTAGCCGTGCCGATTCCAGACTTTCACTGCTAATGAAGTCTTTCTGTGCTGCTTGCTTTTTAGAAATTTTCCTGCTTAGGCCCTTTGTGAGATGAAAAATCCCTTCCACATTATGTTTCATTATATAGTGTAGACATATGCTAAATATGTCATACCCACTGGGTGAAATGACAGCACTGAACAGTCAGAGGCTAATATACTGTACATTAACTTCCCCATGTAGTGTCTGCAGTAGGAAGTCTGACACCTAATTAGTGGAAAACCCACCAGTCTTGCTAAACTGTGGTCACCCCTATTGCTAATATCACTTCAGCTGATCAGGTATTAGCCGTGGTGGGATATTATATTTACAACTATTTATTCATTACAAAATTTCAACTTCCCACAAATTCAGGGTGGCAACTGCTACAGAAGTCCCTCATACCTGTACAGGAGAATCTAGTCCTTTAGGTAAAAGTGTTAATGTCATCTATTCTACATGACATGTTAAAAGATGAGGGGATTCAGGTTGCAGTAGCTTATCCTGGGCATAATGCTGTTCAGAATTTATAAATTTAAGAGGGCCTTCTGCTAGCTAAAGGGACACAGAGCCTCAAATTAGCAGCAGGTTTAAATTGTGTTTGCAGTAAGCAGTACAAAACACTAGTTGTTGACATGCCCCATTACTCCAGACTTGGTGTTTGTTCAGCTATGGCCGTTGCTAACTGACTTCTGTTGGCATCACTGAATGATTTTTACAGCGCAGACATGGTTAAATGTGTGTTAGAAAGCAAGCTGGGATGGTGACACTAAGTCACAGAAGTGATTTCTGCTCAAAGCAAAAGAATATGAAAGCTGGGAAGAGAGGGAGCGTATTGTTGTCTAAAACAATGTGACTAATCCATTCTTATTAGGAACGAAGAAAAAAGTATAAATCTGACTTTCAAAATGTTTTCTAATGTTTCTGTAGAAGAACTTAGAAGTTTAACAACATAATGGGCATTTCATGAAAGGTGCAGGCTCAGGCTGAAAACCTGAGCAATTCTTAGCCGAATGTTTCTTAGGGAAAAATCCTTCCACCAAAAAAATCTGTAACTGCCAACGCAGCCTGCAGAAGATACACATTGAATACAGGAATTGGGAATTATGGGGGAGCACATATTTATTAATGAGAAAGTTCTCTACTTTAGAATCTTTTTTGATTTTTAAATGCTCCAGTTAGGAAAACATGGTTTCTCCACCCCCTTCCCCCACCTCCCCGCCATCTACTTTTCATTAAATATAAAATAATAAATGTAAACCAATTTAAAGTACATTTCATTTCCTTTCTAAAATCACTAAGTGTACGAGCATACATTTTTCTTGTTTATCCTCCCAGGGGCATGTGCTTAATGGAGACTACAGTGTATGAATCATGTAGGACTAGACACTAGTTACAGAGCAAAACAGTGCTGCTGTGAGCTTTTTTTGTTAACCAAGATTGTTGGCTCTCTGTGGTTACTTGTAGCAACTGTATAGACAGACATGGCATGGTTATTCCTTACCAGCTCATTGCTGCCATCCTCATCAAAATCCTCCTCTATCCCATCAGTCATCTCTTCTCCATCCCCATCTGCATCTGGCCCTCCTTCAATCGGCTCTTCTGTAGAGTTATCTGCATTCTCTGATATGCATTCCTCTTGAATCAAATCAGCATTATCTTCCATTTGTTTCTTTTGAGCTTCTGTAAGGAAAACATACTCTATAGAGATTCAGTAGCCTTCCCTATTGGTGGCAAAGAAAAGTGCTCTGAGGAAGAAACCTAAGCTTCCCATGTCCAGATGAGGCAGCTTTGTAAAAATCAGTGTGTTAGTATCTACTAGGCAAAAATGATCAAACCCCTTGTTTTCAAAAATTAATGCATAAATCAGTCATAGTACAAACATGCTCATCTGTCCCATGCAGTGGATGAAAGCGGATCCAGATTTTTCATTTTCTGGACTTTGCTTTCCCTTGGGAATCCAACTGGCATAGTCACCATGTATTTATATATCTGCAGCCAATGAGAAGTACATAAATCTCTATGCTCTGAGAAGTGGAAGGCTGTTCAATGCCAATAAGTGAACAAGGATTTGCATAAATTTGCTGTGAATATAGCTCAACAACCATACAGATAATCAAGAAATCCTTCTAGACAACTGAATATATCTTTTACGGAGTAAAGCAACAGTTTATCCCTGCTGATATAATATGCCAAGGTAACTGGAGAATGCCCACCTCCAATTACCCAAATATAGGGCTTCCTATAATTTCCGCAAAACGGTGAAAAGATAAACCATTTCCACACAGTCCCGGAGGATCTGTCCTGGTTGGCTTAGCGCAGACAGCTGCATTGTTGTGATTATGTATTGCTAGGCTCCTGGATACCCTGAGGAATTTCAGCCAGCCAGTAGAAATCCGGAGGATTGAGGAAGGAATGACAGACTGGCCAGAAGAGTGGTTGGAGGGATCACAGTCTTACTCCTATGCACATCAGGAGTTTAGATGAAAAGCTTTATGTACTCAAGTTAATATAGGCCAGAGAATTAGTTGCATGTAGCTGGAGTACCAAAGTCTTTTCAGTCTGAGGGTGACAATACCCATCAGTGGTCAAATTTCCAGAACAAAACTGTTTTTTGCTTTGTTAGATTGACCGTTCTGTAACACTAGTAGTACATCACCTATCTTGTTGGACAGCTAATGAATCTGCAGATTGCCTGTTAAGCTCTGTATTTTTTAGTTCTATGAGTATATTATTTTTTACTATAAATTATTACCAACTGCATATAATATTCAAATCTGCTTCTACTTTTCTGTATTGTAGTCTTAAACCAAGACATTTGCTTTTCCTTCTACCTCTGCACGTTTATTTTGCAACTTACTTCCATCTTAGTCTTTGTCAGTCTCTAGTCCCTCATTTTCAAATTCATTTACTGAAGATGTAGAACAATTAAGCTTTTCTTTCTTAGTCAGATAGTTTATTCAGAAAGGTTCATAGACTTAAAGACTAAAAAGACATCTTAGATAACTGCTTCAACTGTACTGTAGTCACACATATTAGTAGAAGATTCAGGCTGTGGAGCCTCATCATCTATTGGTAAGGTGCTCTATACAATACCATGCTAGTTATAAGTTACTGTATTACTTGCCTTACTGTGCAAAGAAATGTGGATTGAACCAGCAATGCCTGCTATGTCCTGCCTCACCACCTTCTGCCTGAAGCCACTTCTGAGATTAAGCCAGCTGTAGCAGCAACAACTAAATTAACTTTGGTCAAGGCTTTCAGAAAAGGTTCCTGAAATTATGAATTTAATACATTTAAATGGGAATACTTTTAGGATACAGCCGCTAAAAAATTAGGTCACTCAATTATCTACATGAGAACATAGACTAGGTTCTTCGTAGGCGTCTAAAATACCAGCTCAGCATGTAACCCTCCTGGGCTTTTCTGAGAAGCTAAACTTTGGCTTCCTTTCAGCACCCATCTCTGATCTTGCAGGAAGAATATTCTCCTCTAACAATTTTTTCACATCAGAACAGCTTCTGATCCCTGGCTTCCTGATTCAGGTGTTTACAAACAAAGGAGATATTCCTGCAGTTTCCCTATGTACTATGTACGTGTCAGGAATGGTCTGGGCTTGATAACAGTAAAAGACAGAACATCAGCTGTTATTGTAAAGAGAGTTTTCAAGCAGCTGTAGACCAGCAGCCAATTCATGCACGGAGCTTGTCCAGCTTGTCTGTTTAACCTGTCATACTCCTCCAGAGGTATAACTTTTAAGATTAATAATTTAATATTCTTTGTGATAGAGATGCAAACTTCAAAAAAGAAAAGGGCAAGAAGATGGCTTGATTTCGCTTGGTGTGAATGAGATGTAAATCCTCTCTCTGATCCCAGTCTTAGTGAGGCCACAACTTCTGGCAGAGGAAAGTAAAAAATAACATTGCCAAACCAGAAAGAAGGAATAAAATCATCTTGCATCTGACACTGTAAATGAAATAGTTCATCTATTGATGTAGCTTTATTTTGCACAAATCTTTTAGCTGAGGAAGAAACCATCTGTGACTAATCACCCAGGCTGCACAACCCTCTTCATCAGCTCAAGAGACTTAAATGGGGATCCAGGTTTACTGGTATCTCTGAGGTGTTTTTTCTCCTCACACTCTCTAATGAGAGGCAAGGAGTGTGGGGGATGGGTTTTGCACCTGTTGCTTTAAAAAATCAACAGGTTGAAACCAGTGTTTCATCTCTCAGGATTTTATTCATTGCTCATCTTCAAAAGGTGTAACAGTATGATTCAATACAAATCAACATTTTCCTCTGTGAGCTGATTTCTGTTTAAATGAGTTCACTACAGTGCTTCAGCAAAAGTGAAAACTGGGTACCAAAGTACAATGACATGCAGGTTGTTTTGCATAGTAACGTATTATATATAAAAGCTCCCTGAAGTAGGGATGCGCCATCTCAGAGCATTTCAGTACACAAGTGAATCAACAGAGTGCCTTGCAATTACATCTTCACTGATTATACCAACTTTTGTCTAACTGGCATAAAGTACAAAATAGAATGTAATGATTACACATTGTGTACGGTTCTCCTGAAAGAGCTAATCACACTCTGTACTAATGGTTTACCTTAGACTTGGAAAAAAACACTTTCCTTACTTTGTGGGGTAAGCTATAGCAGCTGAGGGATTGGTCCTTGTCTATCAACTTAGAAGACTATTGTAAATAAAAGGCAGGGTTTTTTAAAGAGCTGTTTTTGTGGTTTGTTTTGTTTTTTTTTAAATTGTTAACCACAAAATGTTTTTCCGTAGTGTTCTGCCCTAGGAAGACATTCATTAGCGTTATTTCTGAACACCAGCAGAACAATTCTGAGTTCAGAGGGGTACCACCACAACAGATCACCAAACAGGGCAGGCACTTGGGAACAGGAGGAATCCAGATCTAAATATCTCTTTTGCCTGTGTCAGATTCATGAACTTCAACTATTAATTCCCATCAATGCTTTCAATAGACTTGAAGGAGCTCTCTTTATGTGTCCTCTTAGGTCTTTTTGGCTTCACATAACAGATTTGAATTAGGCAAGGAACACAAATCTCAGTGCCCGGACACCCAGGCAGCTGTGGATTCTGAGACAGAATTTCTTTCACACTTTTCATACAAAATGCATAAAAAGTTTTCATCAGAGAATGGATGGGAAAAGAAAAAAAACATTGAGATTTTTTCATGAGATAAGGCTTCCACCTCCCCCCTGGCTCTCATCCAAATCAGCCTGCTAGAAGACAGCCTCTGTGCAGAGCTATATCACGTGATTTGTAAGGAAATAGCCAACGAAATACAATAGACAGTGGTAAGAATTAAGATTGTTTTCTATATACACCATTGTGAAAATACAACCCTAAATATCACTGATAACTGTGCAGCATGCCTTAAAATGCTGCCAGGTGAAATCATTCAGCTAACAAAATGATCATTGCAATGACAGAAATAAGATCTTGATTAAATTAAGAAGTAGTGTTGGATTTTGTCATTCCCAAGGTCTGCCTTGAAACAAAACATTTCAAGCCAGAGAAAAGATGAACAAGAGGTGTGGCCAGATTTACAGAGATGTCACAGCTTCACACAATAGCTTAAGTTGGAAGGGATCTCTGGACTCTCCAAGTCCAACCCCTCTTCAAAGCAGGGCCAAACTCGAAGTTTGGTCCAGGTCCATAGAGCCTTGGCTCAATGAGTTATGCACGTCTCCAAGGACGGAGCTACTACAGTCTGTCTGGGCAACCTGCTATACTGCTTAGTTGCATCTTGTTTCCTTATATCAAATAGGAATTTCCCTTGCTGCAACTTAGGACTATTGTCTATTTCCCAAGCAATAATTCCCAATATAGACCATCTAATAATTATTAATGTGAATAGCACAAGCATCCCCAAGGTCAACAAACTCTAAATTAATTCTGTTCAGTCAGTTTTTTAGTGATGTTTTGTTTCCAGAACACCTAGTGATATTTCACGTTCTTCTTTTTTTCTACTACACCACAGAAAACAATTCTTGAAATGATGTTTCATGCTCTGTGAAGAATATTAATTTATCCTCCCAGTAGTTCTACCTGAGAGTTAGTTTACCTTGCTTCAGGCCTCCATTATGTAGCAAAATTTTTGGAAGTCTTCCTTTCTCTCTGGTGTGTCTGCGTGAATGATAGCTAGGTTTTAATTTAATTCATTTGACTACAAGTTGTTTTCACCTACCTGCTTCAGCTTTTTGCTGCTTTTCAATCTTTTCCAGTCTCCCTAACAAGGAGTCAATTTTTGATTTGATTTGGGTTAATTCCTTCTTGATTGTTTGCAACTCATCTGATTTCACTGTGGAAAGAGAGCAAAGATGCAAAGCATGAAATGAACTATACTTGCAGCCCCCCACGAACAAAACATGTTTTTTCTTTCCTCTGCAGTGCAAAGTCTACTCTCTCATTTCTGTTAGTATTTTTAGAGATTTAACTTTTATAACGAACATTGTTGGTTAAAAATGCTGAATCCTAGGAAATCACAGGATTCTAAGCCCTAATGGCAAGAGGTTATGTGAAGTGTATTGCTCTGTAATAAGTATTTCAGGGAAAAGATCTCAAGGGAATTCTTAGTAAATCCATGTAACTTTTACTGAAAAACAGCCTATAGTAAAAGAACGATTAAAATATGACAGACAGTTCACAGTGTTGCAATGCTGTTTTGCCAGGCTATTTTGTAACACTAGCGACAAAAAGATCCCTCACAGTAGCAGTATGTATTTTTCCACAAGAGTGAATGGTCACATAAATGCTAAGGCAGCCAGGAATGCAATGTTATGTTCCAGTCAACAACTGCATGGCAATAGGTGTGAAGTATTATTGCTTCAAAAACATTCAGTTCTGGTAATTTCTTGCACTTTTTTCAGCTATGGATAACACACGAAAATATTTCTTTTTGTGAGCACATCCAGGGACATGGAGGCAGTGCCTATAAATTAAGAGCTGAAATTTCTAAATCTTTTTTTTTTTGCACTGCATTACACTTCATTTATGTTCATTATTGCACTCCCCTTGTCTAATGTAAGAAGGAGTAACTGCTTTGGAGGTGTTTTGGCTTCAGAAGAAACACCGCTGCAGCACTCATGAGTGACCTCATTCTTATGGCATTACCAGGACATGGTTTTATGCTCAGATGGTAGTCCAAACAAATCCACTTGCCCTGTCTGTGCTAGGGTATCATATTAAAAGGGCCAAGAGGAGAAAATGGGAAACCTGTACTAGCATGGGAGAATAAAGCCATTTATAAAGGTCGAGTAGGTAACACAGCTGTCACTGTTACAACTGTTGTAAGAAGAAATAGACTGTCACCTTAAATTGTGAGGGACTGGCAATGGAAAAGCACTGAGCAGTATTGCTCCTCCATCCTTACTGTTGCTGAAGGAGAATGTGCATTGGCTTTGGTGTGTGCATCCAGAGCAATGAGAGGGCCCTTAATGAGACTGGGAAAAGGGATGTCCTGGCATGGAGAAGGACACGTTGCCTTTCTGTTCAAAGGGTCTCTTGGCTGCATCTTGCTATGTCAGTCCTGTTCATTGACTCTTGGACATATATCTTATCATGGTGACTCATGGGTATTTTTTATCGGACAATCGAAATCTGGCAATGAAATGTGCAGGCAAGATATTGCCTGCTTCAGTGGTAGTAAATGAGTATGTGTTTGCTTTAAAAATAGCCTTCCAGCAAACTTGGAGTGCATTCACTGAGGATGAAACCAAGGCTTTTTATCTCAGAGGTTCGGTCATGTGCATTATGGTTATAACAAGTCAGCTAAAGGCAGTAGGTTGCTGTATGTGGCAATGAACTTGTTCAATCATGTGCTCGTACTGAGAAATTGCATGTCTGGCACTATCGCGGGCTGAAACCACTGATCTCATATTGAATGAATGGTAGAACTTAGAGAACAAAGCTTAAAAGTAACCTTTCTGCTAGACCTTTATACGCTGTACAGTATTTGATGGAATTATTCCGCATAGTTGTAGAGCAAGGCCTACGTTCTTAGAGAAATATCTGGTTGCTGTCCAGTCCTCCAGATGTATAACAAAATGTTAAGACTCCAACAACTGTATATTTAGAAGGTTATTATTTCCCTGGGGGCAGTGGCTGGTCTGGGCTGGAGTAGCTCCAGGGTGAAATGGTGTGAATCTGTCCAATGGGAAATGCTGAGTGTCTGCAGCAAATGAAGCTAGCTGGCAACAGATCCTGTTCAGGCAAGCTGTTGGGTGAGAGGTGCTCCCTAGACTGGGTAACAGAAGGCTGGCCAGGGCTAAAAGCTGAAAAGTCAGAAGTAACACCACAAGGACTTGACGATACTTATTCCCAGTCTAAAAAGCAAAACAGAAAACATTCTCACTTCTGAATTTGGTGGGGAAACAGGCACATAGGTAGGGCTACTGTTCAACTCAGATCAAACCTTCTGCTTCACAGGGGCTTCCCTATGGTGTCTCAGTGAGAAATCAATTTGGGAAGAAGACTGGACCAGAGGGAACACAGGAACGACAATAGTAAACAAAGTTGCTATGTACGACTGAGGAGCTTTATTGCTACCTTGCAAAATTCCCCTATGCCAAATATGTTTCCTCAAGCTTTGGTCACTGAATCTGCAATTTATCATTCGCATTTTGTGAGGTGATTCCATCATACAGTCAATCACTTCAAGTTAACACTAAAAAAGAATGAAAGAAAACAGATTTTCAACAAATCTGCACAACAAATTCCAAATTTCCACGCTAGTTCCAACATTGCAATTGTATAATTTGAGTTGCTTATTGTCTTAAATTGCAAGAAACTGTACAAATCTTAAAAATCATTCTCCTAGAGAAATTCCACTCTCAGTTATGCTGTACTGAGTATTTCTGTAGTGAGCAGCAATTACTAAAGACAAATTATGAAGGGTCCTGATGAAGAACAAGCTGAGTATGACTCAGCAATGCACCCTTGTGATAAAGAATGCCATCAACATCCTGGGCTGCATTAGGAAGAGTATTGCCAGCAGGTTGAGGGACATGACCCTTCCCGTCTGCTCAGCAGTGGTGAGGCCACATCTGGAGTACTGTGTCCAGTTCTGGGCTCCCGAGTATGAGAGGGAATGAAGAAGACAAGCCAGACTCTTCTCAGTAAATGCCCACTAACAAGTCAAAGACTACTGGCAAGAATTAAAGCACATGAAAGCCCATCTAAACACAAGAAAATACTTATTTTTTTTCTTTTCCCGTGAGGGTGACTGAGCGCTGGCACAGGTTGCCCAGAGAGGCTGTGGAGTGTCCTTATTTGGAGATACTCAAAATCTGTCTGGACACAGTCCTGGGAAACCAGCTTTAGGTGACCCTGTTTGAGCAGGGAGGTTGGACCAGATGAGCTCTGGAGGTCCCTTCCAACCTCAACAATTCTATGATTCTGTGCTACAGAGCCTGGGAAGAACTTTAGCCTTTTAAGCACAGCATGATGAAAAAGACAAAATGTAAAGACTGTAAATACTTTACTTCTGGTGTCCTGTTTTGAGTATATAAATTCTCTTCTAAAACTTCACTTTTTTTTTTTTAATTGATCTCAGGCAAGAAATAAAGCAGTTGATAAACATGAAAGCAGTTGATAAACATGAAACCAGAGCTGCATGTCTCCAAAATATCTGTTCATCTGCTTTTGAGTAATAGAATAGGAAAATAAAGTAGCTTACTGCTGGTTTTTTTTTTTCCTATTAGCAGATAAGCAAAGGCCAGCAGGTGACAGAAATGCATGTATCGAAAGAAAAAGACATTACTAATGAAATTCCTCAAACACTGGCACCAAAATGGCTAAATATCTTCAAGAACTTTGATGCAAAAAAGTAAATAAACAGGTGAAATTTGCTGATGACATGAAATTGGAAGGTACTGTCTAATCAGAATGATCTTAAGTGGAAGGGGTTGTCAGGTGATTTTGAGGAATGCTACATCAGAAAGAAGACGAAATGTAATTGCAGTGAAAAAAAGTCCTACACTTGATTGACTAACAGCAGAACTCCTATTGTTAACATGGAAAATCATCAGCAGAAAAAGACAGTGGCAGAATTATCCTTAGGTGTAGCTGTAATCTCAGGTTGACAGTTGGCTGTCACTGTAATGCAGCAACGAGATGGAAAATGCAGTGCTAGGATGTGTCGAATGATGTATTGCTAAAGGTGGGGTAGTACAACGCCGTTGTACAAAGACGTGGTGAGAGCTCATCTGGAACATGTACAGCCTGAACCACTGAATTTGAGCAGGTACGGGGGAGACAGGTCATGAAGATGACCACAAGAATGGAAAGCCAGTAGTGTGACAGAAGAGTTTTGGTTGTTTGCCTGGGACAAAAGAAGGTAAAAGGAAAGAAAACTTTTAAGCTAAGACAGCATTGGCACAACAAATGAATATGAACAAATGAGAAACAAATTTAAGCAGGAAATTAGAAGAAACAGAGGCAGACAAAAAACAATCCCCAACTAGTTTTAAGATGGAGCTTAAAGGATGAGATGATGTGGCTACTTTAAACAGTGAAGGATGAGATTCAGTGACCCTTTCCAGCCCTCTGCCATGCAGAATGCAAGGGCCTTCCAGAACGCATCTTTCTTTGATGTGTCTAGCACCAAAGGAGACAAACTGCATCCAGCTCAAAACAAGAGATTTAAAACTGAGGTCAATCACATTTTTAGAAATGAAAGTGCTACTGTTGAATTGTGGCTGTATTTGTGAAGCATTTTTTGCCATAACTATAAGTTGCTTCATCCATAAGGAGTGATTCAGATTTCTTTGGAAAGAAATATAATGAATTTTTATCTTAGCCCTTCATCTTTAATATAAAATATTTTATCATATTGTATTACTGTAGATTTCACTGAAAAAAGGGTTAGATGATGAAGCTAAATAGAAACTTTGTGAGTCAAAATGAATTAATTTAAAGGGATAATTTAGTACATATTATAACATCTTAAGCGTCTACTCCTTAATCTCAAGCACACTGAAAAAAAATTTGATTAGTGTCTTCCTCCTGTTTTTAGATGTGCAAAATGAAAGTGCATACTCCAAGAACTTCAGTTTCTATACTGTCAGAAAAAGCGAGTTTTTCCCAGTTCTAAATAGCAATCTGCACCTACTGCTTCATACCGTTAACATGAAGAAATACTATGTGTAGTTTCCATACCAACATGTTTCATTTTGTGAGTTACTTCTGGTAATGTGAAAATGTTGATTTATTTTTTTCTAGTCTTTGGAGTTAAAAAGAAAAAAAAATATTGCCAAATGGTCCTTGAAAAATTACAGACGCAGGAAAGAAATAAAATCCTCCTAACTTATTTTGTGTTTTGGAAGCAAACTTAGAACACATATTGTCACTTTTTTGTAGGACGAGAATTTACAGCATTGGCAGACTTCAGTTTTGCAGATGTACTCATCAATGAGCAAGGCATTTTTGGTATTATATTTTTATAACATCTTTGCTGTGTGAGAAAACAAACTTCTGTCTTCGGATTGCTGGTTTCCAGAAGTGAATCTCTCTAATCCTGGTACTTTCAATGAGGGGTCCCCTGTGTTCTGAGCTTTAATACTACCTGGTATGCATTCATTTTCTGGATTGGAGCTAAGTGTATAGAAAAGCTATGAGAATAGTTATGCCTATGACATTTCTACCTGAATTTGAAAAGTCTGCTAGCGGATGTGAGCTGATGAGAGTTTTGCTATTTGGAGGTGAAATCTTTCAAGCATAGTCAATACCATTTTCACTTGGTTAATTCTGAACATGAGATTAAGCTGTTTTCGGGTCTTGAATTTCATCAAACCCCAAAATATCAAGCTT